GGTCAATAGCTTAAGCATCAGTTCTCACACTGGAGGGGATGTTGCAAAGGTTATGGTTGCAGCTGATGAGTTCAGCAACCTGCCAGAGGCATGTGACATGGCAGTGCTTGTTAAAATAAGTAACATGATGAAAGATTGCATTATTTAGTCTTATTAACATGATCTGCACTTGAATCAGAAAACCAATTAAACAAATTAAAGAAACAGAATATTCCACTCAAAGAGTGGAGTTAATGCAAAAGCCTACCTCAGAAGAAAACACTTGCACCTGCACTGTTCAACTCCCACAGAAGTAACAAATCAGTCTGTTCTGGCACAGAGATTTGATTTATGTAGTCAGATTCCTTAAGGCTCACACTCCAAACAAACTCTCATCCATACTGAAACATTGTTAACATCATTGCCCTTAGGTCTCCTATTTTTTTAATATGAAAATCAAGTACTAAAGCAAAGGTTAGAATGTAAAGAGAGTTTCTTTCATTTCAGGAAGCACAATAAATACAAATAGCTCAGAATAATCAAAAATACACACCAGCACCTAGGAGTGAGCAGGACTTTCCTTTAATGTTCAGAAGACAAAAACACTGTGCTAATTTCTATATGGGCAACCAACTCAGTAGCACAGGAAAATACTGCATTTTATGTCTTTATATCTCACTACACACTTCCACTACTAGAAAGAGTATGCGAAAAGACATCAGAGATTGTACTACAACAAAATTGCCAGCACATCAGTATATAAGCAACCTATGCACATTTTTGTATCACCAGCTTCTCAAAGCTGCCCCACCAAAGGCCTTCAGGCCAGGTGTGCCCTGGACAGTTACTGAGGTACTGCTGTGCATTGCTGTGAACTTCTTCTGTCCTAAACCAGAAACGAAGACAGTGTTTCCACCTAAAATGCATAGCCTCAGTTTTGGTGACACCGACGAGAGCCAATAGCTGTCCTCATTTTGTTTGGGAGCATGGGCTTACCTGAAAATTGGGCTGCTGCAACTAAAAGCAGAATGTGGTGACTACTAGAAATCTGCTTTATCAGAATGAATGGCCATGAATGAATGGCCAGTCTTCGCGAACGAAGAACCAGGGAAGGTCTTTCCACCTTCCAGCCTGCGCATTGGATTTTTTAGGTGAGACACAGTGTGCGCGGAACTGAGCCCACCCTTTAATCCTGAGGTTCATCTGCCGGGGCCAAGCGAGGTTGGACAGTGGTAGCGAGGTCCTCAGGGCGTAGATGGATTGCCTTATGGGCTAACGAGCTCCATCTGCCCGGGGAGGGGCCCTGACCGGGACTCGAACCCGGGTCTCTGCAGTGACAGTGCAGCGCCTTTCCCTTAGACCACCAGGGGCTCCCTGCTTTATCAGAATAATTAAGAAAGAAATACTGTGTGAGATATTAAATAATAATTTAATGAAATCTCCCACAGACTTTCATAGTGCTATAAATACCGGCCATCTCAAAATGAACTGGTTAATGAGCTGACACTTTAATTTGTGCTGTCAATAGTGTCCTGTTGTGTTTTCTAACGTGCAGAGAATATAGTGTTTGCAATTAAGACATGGGATTAAAATAGATGATGCACACTGCTGTCTAGTGACCTACTATTGCTAATAATAAAGAACATGCATGTATTTTCACCTGCACTTGCAGATTTCCTGCTTTTCACACTGTACCCAGACCTGAGGGATTTTTATGCTACCTACCCTTGGGACCTACTGCTCAGTGGGAGTCTCTTTGCTGAGCAGTTGAAAAATGGGACACTCAAAACAAAGAATAAATTCATGGCAGAAAATGCAGCGACTTTATTGGTCTCTGAGAGCCAACAATGGGAAACCACAGTGGGCTGAAGACAGTCTACCAAATAATTTATGGCACACAGCCCGTTTGTGAATTATTTTTTTCTCTATTAGATGTCCATTAACAGATGGAAGTCTAATACGTGGAAAATGTTATCTGACCTCAGAGAAACAAGTCCCCCACCCTTCCATTACCTCAAGCTGAAGACTACCCTGAGCTGCTACTATCTTCTAAAGAGATTGTGCTATTGCTTGCTCTAACTCTGCTGAATCCCAGTTTGGGTTTTAAATACACCTTTGAAACAATCATTATACCAACACAGGCTTTATCTACCACATTCATTGTTTGGATTTCAGCAGACTATTCCTCAAAAACCCTCCTTTGTTAAACACAGCATTACACAATGCTACCTCATTCCTAGTCACAAAACTTTCAAAAATAAGGAAAAAACCCTCATTTAAGACTGCATGCTACTTTAAAGTACTGTGTTTTATTTTTACACAAGGATTATTATTCCCCCAGATTTCAATTCATTCCTATGGACCATGCAAAATGCCACAGACCACAGAAACTACATTTTCAAATGGAAGTTTTTATTGATTAATTAGGCATTGAATCAAGTATTGCAAAATAAACAGATTTTGTTTGTTAAAAAATGTCCAGAAGAATACCATCCATAGCAAACTTGTTTCCTCATCGTCATACAGAATATGAAATTGTTCAAGAAACAAGCAAAAAAGAAATACCTAACTAACTGCTGTCACTTTGTCTGTGTATATACATATGTATGCATATACACCACATTTGTGCATATACTGGTGTGTACATCCATACATACGTGTACATATATACACAAACATATATGCACAAAGGGTACTGACTGAGTTAATAGGCTATTGGAGAAATGTGGCTTAGCTCCAAATGAAATGTTCTGTGTTAAAATAAAAATGATACAGCAAGACCATTCTTCTTCCATTGGCCAAAACCATTACATGTCTTTAGAGTCACAGTCTATCTTTACAATGAAAACACGTGAGATCATTTGGGACCTTTCCAAATTCATGGTATTGCTTCCATCCAGCTCAGTCTCTGTGAACATTGTATAGCTAAACACTGAAGAGTGTTTTCAGTTTATGCACCTCTGAAATCAGCTTCTAGATTTAATATTTGTGGCAAAAAGAAGATACATACTCTTGCTATATGTAATTTGCTAATATACCTTTTCCTTTTAGGCAGAAACTTGGCAATAATCCTAGATTAAAACTCCTTTCTTCATGCATCTTTTTATCACTGCTTTGCGTCAGTCATCTCCTGTCAACTCATTTTATAAAAATTGTCATGCCATCTCAGCTACCTCCCAAACAGCCCAGGTCAGATACTCTGGGCAGTGTATATCAGATTGTATCAGTAAGATTGTATCCAATTATAAAACATAATGTTTGGGGACTTGCTTTTTCAATTTTGAGGGTACACATTTCTTGATTATTAAAGACAGTATGATAAATGCTGCAGTTCACTGTATGTACACATTTTGTCTTATTAAGCCTACTCTGGAAAGATCAGTGGCTCCTACCTGTGAAAAATGGGATGCTGCCCAGCTGAAAGCCATGGTACCAGCAATGTACCACCAGATTTTTCTCTATTTAATTCAGCAGTTAACATGACACATAAAGGGAAATCGAAGGAACATGGTCAGGCATTTATTTTCTACTAAAAAAGAGGAAAAAACCAGATAGGCATGTACATATTCCTCATCCTGCTCATAAATTTTTCATATCATGAGAAGGCAAACTGTAATAGAGTCTTTTACTGGGAGAATCAGTATTTTAAAAATCTGAAGCTGAGCTTGAGACCATTTTATTTTTTGGAACCATTAGTGAACAAAGTGCATTAAGGCATCTTTTCCAAAAGACACCAAAAGCATGGTTATAAATTACTAAGCAAATCTTTTCTTAAAGCTGATATTCGATTTATCCTTTCTCTACACAGGCAGATTTTCACCACTTGCATAGTAACAACAAAACATTATAGGAAAACCACTCTTTTAAAGTTGTCGTATGCCTCAAGCATCTCCCAAAATGATAATTTATAGACACTGCAGTAATTACAAAGGTTTTCTATTCCTTAGAAGTGAAACAGCAAAAAATGCACCCGATTCAGCTTTGAGATAAAGTACATACAACCTCTATTGCCTTCACTGAAGCTCATCTACCAACACTAGGATGAATGTAGGGTCTGCCCATGCAGATTCCTACTGCCGCTGAAAGCTTACTCTTTACTCCTCATTCACAAAGAGAATTGTGCTTTCCCCAAAAACACAGGACAATAACTATGAGCAAACTCCAGCTGCAGTGTTTCTCCATACAGCACATGTAAAACAGACTTCCTTGCTTAGTTATAGACACTACACAGTGTATGACAGCGAAACATTTGTATTTAATTTAAAATCAATGGTAAAGTGGTGCAAGTCTCACTTCCGAGTTGTTGGCTAGGCTTGCTATGTTGAACCTTGTAAAATCAGCAATAAGCATTCACATGTCTACTATCAGAACCATGACATCTTCTATTACAATCAATCCTTAAACGATGCCGTGCTTTATCAAATTAGTCTACAGTCAGACCTTGGATTAGCTGCTCTCCTCCAGTGTTGCTGATTCTCAGAGATGGTATCAGTCTTCCACATCCTCAGTGATTCTATAATGTTTCCCACAGACGAAAGCAAAGCACTGGCAGATGGGAATGTTGCCATCAATAAAATAAATCACCAGATGATTTATCCACTCACATTTCTAGGAGATATTCCACATGTTTTTTATGAACTGAGAGAGCACTGCCCTGTGAACAGAAGTAAATTAGACTTTATTCTTTTGCTGTGGTGGCTGGCTCTCTTTTTTATTTCTGTTCTTTTGGTCTGCACACTCCCATGTGCAAAGTAGAAATTGGGAGATCTCACACTCAACAAGGCTGGCAATGAGACCACTAATGTTGGTACGAGTAAAACCTGCAGGATACTGACTTGTCCACTGCACAGTTTTCATCCTTCAAATTTCCTGCTTTTATCCACTGTAAAATAAAATTATTCAAAAGACTGATGAAACTTTAATTAATAGGGCCACCAATATGTGCGGAAAAAAAAAAAAAGTAATTTTCCAGGTGTCCAAACCAGGCTTTCACTTCCTTTTTTTTTTTTTTTTTTTAAATTTTTATAAATAATTTATAAATCTTCCTGTAAGAGACTAGATACAAAACCAACCAAACAAAACCAGCTGCAAAAGGAAGTTCTAAGATATTTTTAAAGCCACTTCTTGTTCTTCCTTACAAAGTACACAGAAAGAGATAATCTCTCCTTTTCAGTTTTGGCCAAATTTGGCAGCGTTGGCCAGGATGCCACATAGGTCCACCAGCTCCGGGCAAGCTCCTGCAGGCAGCTGCCTGGCCGCCCTGGGAAGATGTGTCGTCCTACCTTTTGGCATTTAGCAGTCATGCGAGCTGCTCGGAGGAGTCCAGATGGTCAGGGATAGGCAAGCCAGTTATAATGGTCAAACACTTGTTCCACACTGTGAACGTGGGGCACACTGGCTGCCCAAAAGTAATGTCAAAAGTGTAAAGGTGTAGGGAGTTCAAAGCGTCGTAAAAAGCAAGGGAACCATTGTCATAGTCCAGCAAAATTCCGACCCGCCGGAGGTGAGGGGCAGGCTCTATGGGGATTTCTTTGCTGTTGTGCCGCACCACCCACGTGTTATTGCAGCGGCAAAGCACCCAGGAGGCAGAATTCTTTCCGATCCACTCGTGCTTCGGAGCTGACTTGTAGGAAATGCCAATAGCATACCTGCGAAATAAAACAACATCCCAGGGAAACAAATGCTTCCTGCCATGTTTGTCTCTCAGTGAAGTCAAATGTTAGCCCAAGAGGACTCACAGGAATGCCCCAGCCTCTTCCTGCTGCTGGTTTAAGTTCTGGTTAAGTGATGTTTCACCACAACATCTGCACAGGTTTAATTAATGTTTTCTTCATCTCTCTTTTGGGTCTGAGAGATCAGGGAAACTCATTGTATTGTTTCTAGTTTTGCAGCTATGGCAATTTTTATGAGTGCTTACCTCTGGTATTCAAAAGGAAGATTGTTGAGTACTCAGCAACTCAGAGTTTAAATCACTGGCCTGAAATTTCCATTTCCAACAGATGAATGCAGAGGAATTAACTGATTTTAAAATACGCTACTATCTCTCAGCTAATCTGACCTCTCCTTGCTCCTTTAATATATGGCCCAGAAGAAGGCATGCAAGAGTAAACATCCAGGATACATTAAAAAAACAACATGTTGCCATTTTCAAATATGTTTTGCCAGATGCTGGTGTGGTTTTCAGATTTAAATGAGCATTTTTGGGACTGAGTTTCTGGCAAAGAGAAGCAATGTAAGTGAAGAGATTTGCTCTGGAAACCATAATTTATGGTAAGATGTGCAGGGTAAAAGGATTGTGAAAATGTTCTCATTAATGGACACTGAGGACAAATACCTGATTTGTCATATAAAATAGAAATTTAAAAGTTCCTCACATTCTAGAGACACTGCAGTATTTGTTGGGCTTTCAACCAACAGAGATTAATGTGCCATAGGTAACTTTTTTTCCATTCCTTAGCATTGACACAGACAAACAGCATTTTTCTTGTTTGAGACTGTGGGCAATACCTGAAGACCTTACTGATTTTTCCAATTCATTAACCTTCATCATGATGCCTTTGAATACCAAAGGATAACATCTCTTCCACAGACCAAAGGCCCCTGGAAATCCACCCCTATATGACACAGAGGATCATTCAGAAGTGGAGGAAAGCACTCTTCTATTTCCTTGCTTCATAGCCTGGGGCACAGACCTACAGCTCTGCTGCTCTACATCCCCTCTCCAGAAGCAAATCCGATCTCTGTCCCCATGAAACTGGATCATCAAACTGTCCTCATTTTTATTTATTTTTTCTCACTGAAGGACATGTAAATCTTTCACATTTAGTAGAGAAATGACCACATTTGCAAAGTTCACTCTCAAAATGTACTGTACATGGGTTCAAAAAAAACAATCATTCCTGGACATGGAGTAAAAGTCCTTTGAAGGCTGCTAAATATAAAGATGTTTAATGTGACAGATTTAGTTCCAGAGTCCAAAAGTGCTGGATATTGGGAAAATAGTCTGACAAACTATGTGAAAATACATGCTTGGCCTGCTCTCATACTCTTCCCCATGTTTCTGCTACTGGTCTCTACCAGAGAAACTGTGCCAGAACCTGCATGGTATGAACTAGTGCTTCTTTTCACATATATTTTTATATACATACCAAGTACTCCCGCTTATAACCACTTCCCAGTAATGCCGCCCGCTGTCAATGAACACATTGCCAGCTACTCCATAGCTCCCTTGGCTCGTGAATCGCTCTGGTGTGTGACTCTTTTTGGAGGATGTTTCATCACGTTCCACTGTCAAGTTATCATGAGACACTTTCAATTTTCTATGAGCAGATTTGGGGTCCAGTTTAAATGGCTGACCTAGACACAGAGAGACAAAGATGACACAATAATGGTTTGGCTTTGATTTTGAAAAGGAGGGTGGATTAGTGAGCCTCTAAGAAGCCTGCAAGATTACATAACCATATTAATTTCCTCCTCTCAAGCATTCTTGAGATAGACTAACCTATTCTGATCCCTGCAATAGCTAGTTTGCATTGCCTTGTCAGTTTACTGTCAATTTCTTTGTGCACTAACTTCCCTGTGTCGATAATCCCTGAAAAGAGCCCTGCATAATCATCATGTCCTTTATCTCTGACCTAGAGGTAACCAGAATACTCTGATTCTTGCATGTAATTGAAACCAATATACATGCTAATAAAGGTCTGAGGGTTGCTTTTTTCACAGCATATTAGATTTAGAATAAATCGTGTTCAATTAATTCTCTAGGGATAAGGTTCCACAATAACATCTTCATTATTCCTACAAAAAGTATGATTTCAAATCCCACAAAGTGAATTTAAAAATAAGAAGAGGTACTAGCATTGTTTCTTCATTCATTCACTCACAGCTTTATTTATAACAAGCACAGTCAACAATTCAGGATTGCTTTGGAAGGATGCCTATGTAGTACTGGATACTGTGCATTAAAAAGAAGGAAGTGAACTGTAACTTGGTCCAAATAATATGGGTAATAACATTATTGAGGCTGTTGCTCTTGGCAAGTATCTTGGGCTGTAGCACAAGATTTGTAGACAATAACAGGAAGCTATTTGGTAAACTGAACCGTGTAGATATATAAAGCCCACCACAATTCTGACAGGCTTGCTTATTGTGTCAGAAGGCAGAAAGATCATTTACCTCCACCAGGAGACAACTAGAAAAGTATAACTCCACAAGTAATCCAGCAAAGCACTTTCCCCTTCTTACTGTCTGTTATATCAAGGCAAAAAACATGTAATTGGAAGATTTGATGACATGCACAGAAAATGAAAATGAGCACTCTCATGAAGTCTGTGTGAGGCATTGGTACATGCACTTCAAGCAAGATGTAAATTATTCAGGGTTATCTACTTATGCAATGTGCATTTAATTATCTATTATGACTAAATATAAAATAAACCCATTGGAAACTATCTGGGGACTATTTCTTACCACCTTGTAGTGAAAACATATGTATTGCTTGCCTCTCTGACCAGTTAGTAGCCTTTGTGTGCTGAAGCAGTATCTGAAGGATGTCTCTCTGTACTGAATTGTGCCTGGTAACACTGCACAGGTTAATAACAGAAAGGGGGAAATCAGAAAGCTGTACATGCCATTCTCTTCAGTACTGTTCTTGTAACATTCAGTATTGCCCCTCTTCAAGCACCCTCCCTACAATAAGCAAGTTTCAGAGGATGCATAAATCCCAGTGTTTCCTTTCCAGCCCTCAGAGTTGTCCATGATGACTACATGACTGAGGGGTTGGCTGGGACACAAGAAGAAAACAGTTGAAAACCAGTCTTAAAATTGTTATTCTACATCTGCTATTAATTTGTGTAACCATTGTTTTTTTGAAGTGGGATCTCTGACTACTCTACCACCTTGCTGAACTCCGTAAAAAACTGAGGTGGTTAAAGCTAAGGAGTTTTCCAATGTCCTAAAAAAGATATAATTTTGGGGGATAAAATTAGACTATCAATTATCTTCTGAACACTACCCCAAAAGGAAACGTTTTATTGCAAACATAAGAAAAGCTTTTGCTTTGTAGAGGTAAAAGAATAGGGAGGATATTAAAACAAATTCACAAAAGAGTATTTTCAACCATTTGACCTGTGATGGCTCTGTTCCTATGTGATATTTCCAGTGACCAAACAACAGACACAACTACTGAAGACTCTGGCAATCTCGAATTGAATTAAAGAAGTGGCTTTCATTGTAGAAAGCACTTTAAACAAGTTAAACTGCTCTGTGCTCTTGTATCTTCCAAAGATCAAACCTAAAAAGGAAGGCCAGAAAGAAGAATGCATGCATGCTGGATCTCACATTACTCACTGTTTGTCTTGAGCTTGCCAGGCTCGCTGCTCCTGCTGCCCGCCTGATTAATGGCCTTAACAATGAAGATGTACTTAGTGCCACTCTGTAACCCATGCACCGTGTAGTGGTTTTGTTTGATATTAGGAACAATCATCCAGCTGTCGGCTGAGTTGCATAAACCTGCAATTTCAAACAGAGCACATCAGTCATAACATACTAAACACTTTGTAACAGAGGGACATTCCCAGGAACCCAATGACCAATATGAATTTTGCTTCTGTACCTTTTAAAGTGTTATTACATTTAGTGAGCCACTACTTAATGCCACTAACTCATTTCATCAACCCTCAACCGTGGTACCTTTTAAGCTCCTGCTATGTGAAGTCAACCATAAAAAATGGGCATTTAAGAAATGTCTCAGTGGAGACACTAGCAGTCTGAGATTTTTCATATCCCAGCACAAGGAATTCTTTATTGCTTAAGAGCTAGAGGATTATGGCGATCCCATCAATCTACTGCTTGGATTAATGAACTCAGTTTAAGCCTCAGAAAACTAACGTAAGCAGTAAAGCCAGGAGGGCTGGTGAGGCACCTCTGCTGACAGTCCCCAGGTATGCATTCTTCAGGACCTGAAGAAAACCATGGGAGGCCAAAGAAGGTAGAGCATGGGCTTCAGAGAAAGCTTTGGTTCTTATATGCCAGACTTTGCCAGAAGGTAATCTAAGTCAGTAAATTTATTGGAAGCAACTTTTTGATTTATGTCCTCGTGCTGAGATGCCAGCTGGGAAAGATCTGGAAAATTTTACATTTATAAAACTTATTCAGTACAGTTGATGCCAACAGAAGTATATTATATAGGAAGTAAGTAAAATAAGGGAGTAGCAATATCATAATCAAAACAGGAAAATACTCTATTAAAATTAACTTATTAATTGACATACATTTTTCCTACTGTGGTATAACTGCATTGGCAGTCAGTCACCCATATTACTTACTCTAAATTTGGAACAGCTCCTGGTCTAATGGATCCCAGTCTTACAGCTCTCTTATTATAAATGATTACATAAATAAAAAATTTAACATTCATGAAGAGTATATATATTCACAACCTTTTATACAGCTATACAGCTAGGAAAAGACAGATGCAGATGGAAGTGTATTGTATACACGTGCATACATAAGTAAGGCTGGAAAACTTAACAGAGAAATGCTTGACTGGATTAGGAACCTGATAGACTTCTTGGTCTCTGCCTTTACTGGGCATAGAATATGTTATGAAAGCTGTTGTTTTTATTTAAAGAGTTTCAGCTTTTAATTAGTGTTTTACCATCAAACCAGTAAGTAATAAAGAGAACTCAGTAGTAATTTCAGCTCTGCATATCAGACAATATAATTATTATAATTATTATTATAATTATTATTATAATTATTATTATAATTATTATTATAATTATTATTATAATTAATTCACATAAAATAAAATTTAAAAGGCTACTGAATAAAAAAATTGAAAGAAACAGACTTGTGATACAGGTTTACAGACTCACAGACAATTCATAACCATACTGTGAGACTCCTTCCTAATTTGGGATGTGTTCTTCATAACAAGATACCATTAGAAACAGAATTCAAACTCCAAATTTCAATCTAAGAATTGCAAAGCTTGTGTCTCAAAATTGTCTTACATTACAAAGCATCCTCAAGAGGCAGGCAGATTTTCATCCTGCTGTGCAAGTGGGCAACTGCAGGACAGTTTCAAGTTGGATTCATATTGTCTTGTCATGTAATGAAGAGCTATAATGCCTAACTTTTTTTTTTGGTGGATTCTGAGGAGAGGCAGAATTCAGTAACTTTTTCACTTTTTTCAGAATTCTTTCACTTTTCCAGGTGTGAACATCCTACCTTGTCCTCATGCTGGCTTGCTATACTACCAGCCACGAGTGCCTCTCTTTTCTTGACCACAGAAGAAGCCCGATGACTAACAGAGGTGAGATCCCTAACTTCAGCTATCTAAGATGATGTAAGATGAACCACGCTCCTTCACCACCCTGATTTGAAGTCTGGAACTTGAGTTGTGGCCTTGGGCCATGATTTCCCAGAATGACAACATTTCTTTGTTGCAGTTTCGTAGTGTTAAGCAGGGAAAAAAAAGAATTATAGTATATTCCTTATACACTAACCTGTGAGCATCCAAGTGACATGTAGTAACATCTGACTACTTGCAGCCTCCCTAAATATCAGCTACAAGAGATTCAAACTGTTTGCTATATGTGAATAGAAGCAGCACAGAAAAGCAACCTTGCAGCACTGCTTTTCTCAAGAATACTGAAAAACAAGGTCATATAGAGTAATCATCTGCCTCATGAGGAAGAAGAACCCAGTGTTATCCTCATGGTAACCCCAGTTGGGCCTAGCACTGGTAGTAAACTGCTTACAGCAACACCAGTCCATGTCTTCTTTCACTGAGCCATAAACACTGAATTTATTTATTTTCTTAGCCTGTGCGTGAATGTGTTTCCTAAGTGGAAGAAAGGAAACAAAAGAAGCAGCTTCCTGACATATTTCACTAACTGCTCAGAGGAAACCTCATCTTCTCCCAGTTTGCCATGGGTATTAGAGTGCAGGCACACTTGTTCTGTAGCTAAACTACCACGCTGATTTTGCATTGAGACCATGCCTTAATGGACTCATAGGTATTATTGCAAAAAAGTATTAAGTTAAAATAAAACAAAATGAACCATTTGATTTAGATGAAGTGTAGGATGAACAAAGAATCCTTAACTGAGATGCCTCTGATGGGTTAGCAAATACCATATGACAGTAAGTGGGATGGATACAGACAGTAATCCTAGAAATGTCTTTTCCACCCACAATCACACTTTGAAAGCAAAGTTTTATGGTATACGTAAGCCATATATAAACTAACCCTTACGTAGACACAGAAAAGCCCAGATTTTTACTAACTCATCTATAAACTACATTTGTATTAGCCATTACAACTCTCTAATGGGTACGTTTTTCAGGCTTGCATTACACATTTTATGATACCCCCCAGAGACTGATTGCTCCTTAATGAAGTATAAAATTTTGACTTAAATAAGTATATGAAGGACTGTAAAGGTAATGCTGCATTGCTATAGGTCTCCTCTTGAGTTTATGCTTTCCTCCTGTGTATGTGGATTTATACGTACCCAATAATCACTAAGGATCTTATGTACCCCAAACTTTCAGTACAGTNCACAGAAAAGCCCAGATTTTTACTAACTCATCTATAAACTACATTTGTATTAGCCATTACAACTCTCTAATGGGTACGTTTTTCAGGCTTGCATTACACATTTTATGATACCCCCCAGAGACTGATTGCTCCTTAATGAAGTATAAAATTTTGACTTAAATAAGTATATGAAGGACTGTAAAGGTAATGCTGCATTGCTATAGGTCTCCTCTTGAGTTTATGCTTTCCTCCTGTGTATGTGGATTTATACGTACCCAATAATCACTAAGGATCTTATGTACCCCAAACTTTCAGTACAGTCAAGAGGGAGAGTTAGGAACCCTCCCTTTAACCTGACTCATGTTCAAGGGAAGGCTCTATCCTCTTTGATGACAGAAGACACTCTGTGTTTCTTTTCTTCATCTTTCCAGTCTTAGGCATCCCAGATTACTGATGCACAATAAATGTTGGATATGCAGCGACTGACTTAGTTACTTTGCTTGACAAACCTTGCTGTCTCAGCAAGCTCAGCTCTAGTCTACGCATCAAGGGGCTCACGATATGTCCTTGTGCTTCCTGACTGTGAGATACTTGTTAACAGGTTTGAAATTGTACTTTGATTAAAAAAATCTTAGGAATGAAGTTTTAATGATGCCAAACTACAAGTCCAAACTCCTTCAAAATGGAGAATAGTTACCAGTGGCAGCCAAGTTAAGCTTTTAGGTATGAAAGAATAATTTGACGCTGCATCAAAAGAATCTGTCTCCAGATACGCCCTGTCAGGACAACCTTTCTTCTCCAAATACAAAAGAATATGATTAAGAAAACTCAGGGAAATGAGCAAGCAGCCTGGTCACACTGGCATCCGGGGGTAGTGTTTGCCCTCTCAGCTCCCTGCTGGTGGCAGCAGGTGAAGTGGAAAAGCACACATCTCTTCACTGAAGCAGCAGCAGGAGCTAAGGGTCTCCTATTGTACCCAATCCTAATCCAGGCTACATTCATCCTTCTTGTTTCAAAAACCCAGGACTTCTCACAGGGTTACGCAGATGGTAAAACAATGTATTTTAAAACTGTAACCTAACAAAAATGTAGAGAATTTAAATTACATCCTGGAATGGTGCAGTGAGCACAGTGATGTCCGTACAGGATATGTGAGTTTCTCAGAGTCTGGAGGTAATAATTTGTAAAACTATTTCCCTGGTGTTGGCTGTTGATGCACTTCAAAAAACAGACGAGAAAAATCCCAGGGTGTAAATCCTCCTAAAATTTACACTAGTAGATTTTAATAAAAGATATATTCTTGAAAACTGGAAGAGGAGTAGCAAAGTGATGTGAAGGTTATTTAATCTCTTGAGCATTTTAATTATTTTAAAATGCTTTGTATAAATAAATTGTTTTCAAGGAGCATTATTCCTGTTTTATCCCAAATTTGCCTTTGTGTCATTAAAAAATACTAAATATAAATACTAAAGTATAAATCTGAAGATTGTAAGGAATATGTTTTTAATAAAATAGAACTTCCAGAAACAGACAAAGGTTAGAATATTAAAATATTGATAGGTGAATAATAAATTCACTGTTTTTCATGAAAGTTCAGGCTCCTAATTGTCTTAGATCCTTCAAAAATTCTTATCTTGTCTCATAGGAAAAGAAGTCATCTAACAGTGAAAATGTTCCGACAGTAGTACAGTGTATTCTTAATTTTATAATTAGGCTATATAACTAATTAACACTGATTCCTTTCTTTTACCACCAAGNCAAAATGAACCATTTGATTTAGATGAAGTGTAGGATGAACAAAGAATCCTTAACTGAGATGCCTCTGATGGGTTAGCAAATACCATATGACAGTAAGTGGGATGGATACAGACAGTAATCCTAGAAATGTCTTTTCCACCCACAATCACACTTTGAAAGCAAAGTTTTATGGTATACGTAAGCCATATATAAACTAACCCTTACG